AGGTAGAATTATGTGACTCACGCAGTAACTTGTAAATTGATATACTGGGAGCTACTTCTACCCAAACAAATTACTGTGATGATTCTGTAGAATGTAGAGAAAGAAAATGTAGTCATTGCCTTCACTGGTAACATTTATTAAGCCTTTCCTGTGTTTGGTGCCCTGAGTTACTGGTTGGCAGTACCCACCCTCACTGCCCCTGCCCCTGCCCCTGAGGTTTAAAAGATTGAGTTGATAATCAAGCTGCTCACACTTACCTCCTTTTCTGTTTTAGATTTTGACGTTCTTGTTTCCATTTTATACTTTCTTTAGAAAGATACTTCAGGAATTTTAGTATGTCTTACAAACCTAAGGTGTAATTAACTTTCAGTTTTTGCTACTTCTATGTTAGTTTGATTTCCTTCATTCAGCATAAGTTCTTTTCCCGTATGTACAGTGCCCATAAATGGATTATAGTTGCTAAATTAAAAAATCAAAATGTATTTACTGTTAGAATTCTAGCAGATCAGCTTTAAAGGGTTTTCTCTGTCTCTCTCTCCCCTTAAGAATAGTGGTCACTTTGAGGCAAGAGGTTTTTAGATCTTCAACTTCATTTGTCCTTGGTTACTGCTGGGGCTGGGTGGGAAAAAGCCCAGAGTATTTAAGAGGAGAATGACTTTGTTATCTGTGTGACACTTAAATGGAAAGCTCTAAGTCAAGCACAGAAATTTGGACATTGTCATGCAACAAAAAGGAGACTCTGTGTAGTCCCTTGTAGGGTCCCTTGAAAATGAGGATGCTCCAGTCCTTGGACCTGCTCCCATATCTGTGGCCTGGCCTGCTACTTCCATGATGTTCTTTAGACCTCTTCTAATTTGAGGTCGTATCAAACCATTTCTGTAATTTTGTTATTGTTGCTGTTCTTACTACAAGAGTTTTTTTGGGCGTTTCTGCCAAAGGTGATAGCTTTCACAACTTTTTAAATATACTTTCTTGTTCCTTAGGCTTCCTAGATTACTCATAGTAGTATTGTGTTCATTGCAGTTTCTAATCAAGTTTTTTTTTTTTTTTAAATAGTATTCTAATGTGATCTTTCCAACAACAACAAATAGAATTTTAGAACTAAATGATACCCTAGCAATCATATCTTCATATCCCCTCAGTTATATTACGGGTTACTTCATTATTTATTAAAGGACCATAAGGTTACAAACATTTATAAGATCACAGGATTATAGGCATTGATTAGCTTCAAGGATAATTCTAGTCCAATACCTCATGACAGGTAAAGCGTGTTCACGTTGTAATTGTGTCCATTTTTATTTCATTAGTAATGTCCTTTCTCTGTTTGCCACACCCAGGTTTCATTTTGTCTACTTCACGAGGAATCCTCACATGCCCTCTTGTATAGGATTATTGTTATGTTTATTACTAAGTGGAATCCATGTTGAGTTTTAACAGTTTCTTTCCCCCATACATCTGCCTCTGTAATGGTCGCTGGGTTTACTGCTGCTCACTTACTAGTGCCCTGGGTCTTAACAACCTTATTCAAACAAAACGTCTTAAATGGGGGCATTAAACAGGTCACAACAGTGAGCCATTTTGTAACATTTGGTGCAATAAAATGGGTATGTTGTGTTTTAGAATATAAGACCTCTGAGTGCAGCTATTCATTTTCTTCATCTATAAAACATTTTAGAGTAACAGCTTACATCTGTTTGGGGTATAACATTCCACATTTTGAAGAAACATCACTGTTATATAACTTCAAACCAGGCATGGGGAAAGAGCTCACGTTCTGATGGGCCCATGCTCTGTGGAAATCCTAGAGGTTTTGTTTTGTTTTAAAACTGTGGAGCCTTATTTGCTGGCAGTACTTCTTTCACATGTGTGGAACACATTTTCATTATTGTTTCTTCCTATTGTAAATGACAACAAGCATACAATATGATTTTGACTTGAAGAATATTTGAAAAATCTTCACACATCAGGAGTTTATCTTGTGAGAGATATTTCACTGCCAGAAACCGGAAATAAATTTAATTATTTAGGCATTTACAGCACATTTAATTACCTTAGACTGTCAGTTAATCTTGTTTTAGAGAATGAACTTATGGTTTATTGTCAGCTCACTTTTAAAAATAAATACCTGATGGAATGGTTTGGCCATTTCACTGTGTGATTTTTAAATTACTTCTTTAAACTGAAGAAACAATTTAATTTTTAATAGAGGAAAATGGATAAAATGTTTATCTATAGAATTTCAAAATCTAAATAATATTAATACAAAATGAGTGCAGATAACATGCAGTGCAGTTTTATGGGTTATTTTAACCAAGAAATGAATAGTGCTAGCATCAACTATTAAAATTCTAAAATCTTTTTCATGTTATAAATGTGAAATATTCACATTCTTGTTCAAATGTGATATATTTACATTTGGGAAGGGAAAATACAAAGAAGAAAATTATATCATCCATAATCCCACTACCTGTTAGTCATTTTGAGTATATTTGACTACATATTATAAATTTGAACAATTTTAGAAAACTATTATACAGTTAGTTTTTTGGGTTTTGGTAATTAATTTAATTGGAAATTGGTCTTTCAGTTTCAGAGTGGACAGCATCAGCTGCTTTTACATTTTGGCAACAAAACACTAAACTACATTTGATTCCTACTGTGGGACTTTGACATACAGAGTGAGGTCATGCTCATTTATGAAGATGACGAACAGAGATTCTAGCTTGTCAGCTCAATCCAGGCTGTTGACATTGACTTATTTTTTTTCCAGCGGAAGACAGATTATATTTCCATGGCCAATGTCAAGCTCAGTGCCAGCGTTTGCTCCAGTAGAATAAGACAGATGATGCTAGACTTTTAATTTCTGATTTAAATATAAATATTTCAGAAATAACCTAATGCCCTAAATTCACACGAAGGTAAATACCCATTAATCCCTTCAGAATTACAGACACCCACACATGCATATTGATAATGTTCAAAATCCACGTTTACTTTTCATTTACAAATGAGCTGAAACAAAATAAAAATACTGGACATTAGGCACCATTCCCTTCCCTTCCTTCCTTCTTTCGATTGTTGTGAGCATTCAGTGAGATACCAAACCCACTGCTGTTGAGTTGATTCCAACTCACAGTGCTCCTACAGGGCAGAATTTCCGAGGCTATAATCTTTACAGAAGCAGACTGCCACATCTTTCTCCTGCAGAGCAGCTGGTAGGTTTGACCCGCTGACCTTTTGGTTAGCAGCCAAGCGCTGTAACCACTGTGTCTGCAGGGTTCCTTCAGTAAGATAAGACTGTGCTGTACAGTGCCTTGTTGTTAGTGTTAGGTGCCACTGAGTTGGTTTCAACTTATAGCAACCGCATGTACAACAGAACGAAGCACTGCCTGGTCCTGCGCCATCCTCCCAACTGTTATGGTTGAACCCATTGTTGCAGCCACTGTGTCAATCCATCTCGAGGGTCTTCCACTTTTTCACTGACCCTCTACTTTACCAAGCATGATGTCCTTCTCCAGGAACTGATCCCTCCTTATACATGTCCAAAGTATGTGAGATGTTTCGCCATTCTTGCTTCTAAGGAGCATGCTGGTTGTACTTCTTCCAAGTCAGATTGTTCCTTCTTTTGGCAGTCCAAAAGTACAAGAAAAGTACTCAGTAATACCAGCCCTTATGCACTTACAGGCGCTTTGGAAGAAAGCCTGGAGATCTACTTGCAAAAAATCAGCCATTGAAAATCCTATGGAGCACAGTTCTACTATGATAGACATGGGGTTGCCATGAATTGGGGTCGACGCAACGGCAACTGGTTAATTATATAAATACTTACAAGTATGGTGATTATCTTGACCACTCATGTGTCCTTACTGCAGATAACTCTTCTCCCTGACTGTGCCTGGTACTGAATCAGACTTTCAGTCCCACGTCTGTCCATTTAGAGCTCCTGTACTACTCCAGTGTTAATCCTGTGTTCCTTCTTTGAAGGGTGGAGACTTCCCATCTCAGACTGGCAGCTCGGGCCCTGGAGTCCTGTGTCTCAGCTGACTCTTGGAAGTAGTTCTGCCAGTCTTCTATTCTTGCTTCCCTCCCCTGCCCTCTCTTCTCTCTCTTCTCCCTCCTCTTCCTTTTCTTCTGTTCCCCTCCCTCTCTCTTCCGCCTTCTCTGTCCCCCTCCCTCTCTCCTCCCCCTTCTCTCTGGCCCCCCCATCCTCTTTCCCCTTCTCTCACTCTTCCTCTCATTTCCTTCTTCCTTGTCTCCTTTCCTCTTCTTTTCTGTCTTCCCCTTTCTCTTCCTGCTCCCCCCCACTAACTCCCCCTTCCCACTCTCTCTCTTTTTTTTTCTCTCTCTCTCTCTTTCTCCCCTCCCTATTTCTCTTTTAAATCTCAACACTTTGACTGCTAAGGAGGAGACGGCTCTAGCCCTCGAGTAGAAAAATGTCAAGTCTTTAGTCTTTATTACTTATGATTTTTGTTGTTAGTTGCCATTGAGTTGATTCTGACTCATGACAACCCCATGTGTGCAGAGTAGAACCGCTCCATAGGGTTTTCAAGGCTGTGACATTCTGGAAGCAGATAGCCAGGTCTGTCTTCCGAGGCACCTCTGGGTGGGCTTGAACCACCAACCTTTTGGCTAGTAGTTGAGTGCTTAACCATCTGCACCACGTAGGGACTCCATTGCTTATGATAGGAAATATTTATTTTGTCATTTTAGTAGCCAGATCCTGTTTGTATTATTCTAATTTTTTGCCATTTCTAAAGGGCTTCACAGCATTGTTTTATGTCCCTTGGACTGAAAAAGTTAATAGGACTCTACAGGCAGTTACAGTTTAACTCCTTTTTTAAACACTGCGTACACTATACCTACAAATTTGTTTAATATCACTGGGTTATATATATAACGTTAACATGAAGTACTATTTCTAAATAATACAGATTCATTTAGTAATGCTAGACAAACTGATTATTCTCAATTAATTTTTTTTTTTCTTCTCTCTTTAGATTCCTTTCTCTTTTGTGCAGTTTCCTTTATGGGAATCCTTAAAAGTAAGTGTTCCAGTCTTCATGTAAAGTTTCTTTACACTTATCCCAAATACTTACAGTTTCAGCATGGAATAGTACAATATAATATTGACCAGCAATTTAAAAAACTCAAAATTACTAACAGTTGACATTATTTTTGCATGGGAATTACATGTCAGTTCAGCCTTTTAAACTTGTTCAGGTATCGTGGTACTGGGGAATAAGCATAGCATGTGTAATTTAAATCCAGCACTATTAAGAAAAACTGTGCTTTGTGTTCTCCTATATTGCCACTCTTTCTCCATCCTGTTGAATTGTATGTCGCTTTGCTCCTGTGTTCTCTGGAGAGGTTAAGGAATGACAGTAAGGGTAAAGGGAAAAAGACAGAAAGCAAAGCTGACTGACTGTAGGCCTAGAGGGCCCAGGCCCTCTCCCACCCTCATCTTAGGGGAGCAGGGGTGCGAGCAGCAGGATGAGGTGCTCTGCAGGTTCCTGTCATCTCTGCTGCAAACCTAGGAGCCTCCTGTAAGAAGGAGCCTCCTGTGGGGAGTTGAACGTCAGCTTTGGGGAAGGTCACTTAACTGTTTAAAGCAAATAAATTTTTAAAAATCTTTGTTCAAAATACACAGAGGCTTTGGAGTGGTTTTCATCTTCTGGTGCGGTGATTTGAAAAACCATGGGCCATAATACCAATTGTATGGGCCTTTGTCAGCATCAAGGGGCCCTGGTGGCACAGTGGTTAAAGCACTCGACTGCTAACTGAAAGGTCAGCAGTTCAAACTCGTCAGCCACTCCATGGGAGAAGGATGTGGCCATCTGCTTCTGTAAAGATTATAGCCTTAGAAAACCAATGGACAGTTCTGCTCTGTTCTATAGGGTTGCTATAAGTCAGAAGCAATTGGACGGCAACAAATTTTTTGGTTTTTATTGCCAGCATCTTAAAGACTAGAATAAAAAAGAAAATGTTAGAAAGCCTCTCTTGTGGTAAGGAAAAGTATTATTTTGTGAACTTCAGTGTGGTGTATGTAACAGTTTACATATACAACATGTATGTAAATCTCTGTACTGGTTTGCTGTGTAAACTGTATTTCTCATTGTGGATAATGGTCAAAAAATGTTGAATTCTTAAAAAAAGATTCTGTTAAGGTTGTATGCTAAAGGATAATAAAGTGTGGTAAAACATTACTCTTAAAAAGTAGACAAACTGCAGTATTAACTATTGAGAAACATAAGAATTATAAGTAATGGTTTTCCTGATTTTAAGGAGTAGCGCTGCTCATTTGATAGTTTTTTGGCCTGTTGTTTTGTTTGTCTTTTTTTTTGTTTTTATTATTTTCTGTGTTGTGCATGGTGAAAATGGATTTCTCAGGCATTGTTTTGTTGCATGATGTAACAGCTATCCAGTGAGAAGGCCACATTCCATTAGCCTAACAGCTCTCCTTTTTTTGTGTAACAAAAGAACAATGAAGCCAACAGCTGTCCTGCAAACAAGACTCACTTTATTAGTGACTCAATAACCAGCATTCACAGAGATTCTGCACACTCCCCAGCAGCCTTACCCGAACTCAGCATAGGAATGTTTGGAAGCCCAAAGAGGGAAAAACCATGCGGTTTCTTTCTTTTCAGTATTAAAGACATTTATAGGAGTCTGGTTAGTTTAAAAAAAAAAGAATCTAGATGGAGTACTATGCAACGAGAAAGAACAACAATGAATCTGAAGCATCTCATAACATGGATGAAACTGGAGGACATTATGCTGAGTGAAATAAGTC